GGTGTTTATGGTATTTTCATATGTGGCAGCCCAGCTGATTCCAAGAAGCATCTTGTGGCAATATGGAGAGCAAAGGCCTCTGGGAATGATTCTAGTCTTACCTAGGCCATCTTCCTTGGCCCACCTGGCAGCTGCACCTTCAGTGCTTGCATCAGTAGTAGTTCGATTCAGGTGGCTGGCATCGAGTCCGAAAAAACAAAAAAGCTACTGATCCTTGTTCTTTACCATTCAAGTTTACAATTCTGGCAAACCCAAAATTGTCATGAACACATGAGAAGGATTTTTCTGCTCCAAGTTTTATATAAGAGAAAATTTAGCCTGCTTTGTGCTATGACTGCACTCTATGCAGAATTTCCATCGTATTTCTTGACTATGTTAAAGCATCCCTCCTATCCAGAATGCTACTTACCTGAGCTGCCGTCAGTTCCCTAAAGCAGTTTTGGGGTTTGAGGCACAATTTGAATGTGGGCTTTGGGTCCAACTCACTGAAAATACTCAATTACACACATAGACCCGTGGTCAGCCTTTCCACATTGTCACTGTTTGCAAAGGTTCAATGCCTTGATCACAGCCTTTCATAATCTATGAGACTAAATTTATTTCAGGTGTGCTCAAACAGTCTTTCTCTGGCACCAGTGTGACACTGCTGTTTGCCCCTTCCCTGCTATCCACAGCAGGATCTGTACCATGTCACAAGACCTTCTCAGCTCAGACCCCTATCACGTGACACATGGCAAAGATGGCTTGGGCACACGTCCATCAGCATTCAAGTAGCACCCCGTGGGAGAAGGACAGGGCTGGCACAGAAGTGGAGAACCAATTTCTCACGTCTTGGACAGGAGCCTCCAGGCAAGAGTTGGAAAGTAACTTCAAGTCTTTTCTGTCTCTGACTACTTTACTTGTTCTTCTGATCATCTCTGTTCATTGTCACCTTGCCATTTCAGGTTTAATAGTGTTTGCTCCTAGTTTTTAAAAAATTTAATCATTCTCACATTCCTGAAGAAATGCATCCCATTTCCCAACCCCTGTGTCTTCATCTTCCAGGAGATCTAACTTGAACCATAATGATGTTACTAAGTGGTTACTTCTGTGCCCAGTAACTTACACCCCCTAATTAAGGCCTTTCTTTTCCCTAGTATGTCTTTCTGTAACCCCTAGGCTAGGGAGCCTAGCCTTGGGCAAGGTAATATCTCTACTTTATTATGTGTGATATCAGAAACAAATTTGACATCTTTGGGAAAACTTAAGTACAAAAAAAAAAATACTCCAGAAAATATTGATTAATTTTGTCAATAACTTATTTTGGTTAATTATGGCTTTATTTTGACCTTTGCTAGATTCCCAGTAAAGAACTTACAGTACACCCACGTATCATGTAGGCTGGGTTTTTGTTTTGTTTTGTTTTTCTGTCTTGGCCTTTGATTTTTCAAAGATAGAGCTAAAGGAATAGCAGTATGCCATTGTCTCCACCTCCAGGTGACATTTCAACCTAGGAAAAAATGGGGAAGAAATGAAAATTGTAATACTATTCTTCTTTTTTAAAAAATCTGTAATATTTTTCAAAATTGCAAGAGGAAAAGACAATTTTAGAATCAACTTTAAATCAAAAATTCTAATTATTGTTTGATAATTTCAAATGTTGTTAAATATTTGCTGTTAGAGTTCTACTATCCAAAAAAAAAAAAAAACAAATGGCACTACATTTTCTTAAGATACATTTCAAGTGGCTATGTATAAAACTATCATAACTTCTACAGCCTGGGGAAGAAACCAGTCCTATGTGGGACTAGACCCACCTCTCTATTTGTACCTTTTTGGAATAGGTAAAATCCAATGGAATTTTTCATTAGAGCCTTTGGCTTTGGTTTCAACAGTGAGTAGTTAATGTTCAGGAACTGGCTAGTTAATTTTTAAAATGGCTGAACATTAATGGCTGATTATAAAAGCCAACACTTGTTACACCCTGCCCAGGTTCACTGCCAGCTGCTCATCATGAAGCCAATATACTGGGACAGCAAGGGTTAAAGCAGAGAAAATTTTACTAGCTCAAGCACCATGAGAGGAGAGGGGAGGAAGTTCTCAAATCCATCTCCCCAAGAATTTGGGGGAAAACGTTTTTAAAGATGGTTTTGCAGGTAAAGGGTAAAAGTTTGCTAATTGTCTGGAGTCAGGGTAGAACCATAAGTTCTTTGCAGGTAAAGGTCTGCTAATTGGCTGGAGTCAGGGTAGAACCATAGGGGTACAGAAATTGTCTTCTTTGCTGAGTCAGTTCTTGGGTGTGGATGGGTCATAAGACCAGTTGAATCAGTTTTGTGGTATGGGCTCCTGGTTGGGTCAGTTGGTCTACCAGAATGTCTTTTGGAAGATATTTCAAAAACTAGCCTTAGGTTTCACAAGGGTGATGTTATCTATGGGAGCAATGAACAACGCTAAGAATTATGACTATCAGCTATGTGACTACTGAGTAATAAGCAATTGTAGGAAAGCTGGAGAACAAGGGCTGGTTCTATACGTATATTTCCCTTACCACAGTTCCCACCTTGTGGCCCTGTATTAATTTTATAAAGGGGAGTTTCACATGTATATGGCATCTACTGTGTTATATGCATATAGTGCTGTTTTAAGTGCTATCTACATATCTTAACTCATTTAATCTTCACAAAACCACCAAAAGATACTTTTCTTGAATGAGAAGATCTAAGGTGCAGAGAAACAAACTAACCCCAGGTCACATTAATTACTACCCGTAAGAGCTGGGATTTACTCCCAGGGAGTAAATAGTCTTAAATACCACACTTCAGCGCCAGATTGAGTTACTACAACTTCTCCCACCCAAGGACCATTCTCCTCAGAAGATATGATGAGTTTTCGAGAGAGAGAGAGAGAGAGAGAGAGGACATGAATAAAGACCAAAAAGTATAAGTGATTTAAGATTACTCAATGAGGCAAGCAGGCAAAGGTCCACTAGCACATTAGTAAGTGTTATAGTTCTTGCCTTGTGGCTTCAGTTTCCAGTTAACAAAATACCAACTTCTAACTCCAATCTCTAGACTCTTAGAATGATTACCACCTGGAAGTAAGGGTGATGGAACTAGGAACTAAAGAAGGATATACTTGGAATGCAGGTGCACAGTCCCACATGTAATAGAATGGTTGAATTGGCCAAGCTTTCTTTTGTCTCTCTGGTGCTACTAAAGGCTTGAGGTTTAATGAATGGGTGAAGGAAGGATAAACAGCTTAAAACCCCACCCAGTAAAATCTCTTCACCAACTCCTCCCACTTCACCAAAGCCTGGGGAGAGCAAAGGATTCCAGGCCTGGCTAGTGGGTGAGGGAGATGGATCTAAGAATGCTTGCATTGGCAGACACCTGCTGGGTTGCAGCCACAGGTGTTAGTAGTCTTAGCCTAGGTTATCTTTCTTGCCTTTCTGCTGGCTGGAAATAATTTCTCAGCCAACTAAAGTCAGCTCTTGTGTTGGGCAATGTGTGGAAGAAATTCTGTCCAGTGCTCACTGATAACCCTTCTTGGGATCCAATTCCAAGACTGACTGCTAGTACCCAAGGACAATGATGAGCTTAGGCGCTGTAATTAAAATTTGCCCACATTTCTTTTTCTGACAACAGAGAACCTATCTCATGCTCAGAAATGATCTAATGCGTCATCTTTGACATTTCAGAATTTAATTTTAAAATTACAGAATCGAAAGAGAAAGGGGAGAACAATCAAGTCCTTGTGTCCCAGTCCTTTTCCTGTCCCTTTATCGGAGGGTGGTCTGTTTTCTGAAAATGTACTGAGAAACAGGAATTACTTGTCTAAATTTAAGAACATGATTTATCCATGCGGAGGATAACAATCTGTCCACCTGTAGATTTATAGAGACGTCCTTATAGAAGCCTGACAAGTCGGGGGCATTCTTAGGGTTGAGTTTGTCTTGTGTTGCGCCCAATAATTCAAAGCTATTCAGAGTATTTTCCTGAGTCAGGAGCCTGTGAAATGAAAATGCCACAACTGCCAGTGCGAATGATGAGCAAGATCAATACAAATTGTGACAGCTGGGGAGGTGCTGGGGACATTAATTTAGCATTCTGCTCCTGCAAGAGACCACATTTGCAAAGGACTTTTCAACACTGCAATGGAGGAGAACTTGGCGATCCCTCCAGGGTTGTGGGGTGGGGGGACCCTAGTCATTTTGCTGGTTGCAGAATGGGTACCCTAGCAAATCATACCATCACCAGGGCCTAAACCCCTAAAGCTGCACTTCAGTCACTGACTCAGACCAGGTTTCTGCTGTTTATACTGTTTTCATCATGTCCTTGGTGGGTGTAAGGGTGGCAAAGTATAAAACTATTGAATGCCTGAATAACTTGTATTGGTTCTGCAAGGCTGTGTGGAGATGCTCTGACACTGCCAGAACAATGATTTGTCCATTCATGGATTTATACTGACTTCTTTATAGAAGTCTGATAGGTAGGGGACTTTTTAAATGATGAGTCTGTCTCATGTTGTACCCAATAATTCAGAATATTGAGACTAAAGTCCGATTCCATCAGTCCCTACCACACAATCTAAATTCCCTTTTCATTGTCAAGTATATGATTAATACATTGAATTTTTTCCTCATTTATTGCCAAAGTAGTTCAAATACCAAACAGCTAGAAGTTTAAAAACACCGATTTCCCACCCCACCCCCCTGCTTTTATATGTAGTTTTGTGAGCTATTTCCTGGTCATCAAATTACTTAAGGGTCAGAAATGCATTGTTTTCATAATGTTCTATAAAACAGACTCATAGAAATGCATTCTTTCCACAATGTTCTATGTATCAGGTTCATTAACTTTGCAATTATTTCTATATTGATATACTCAATCCATCAAAATCTCAAGACAAAAGGGCAAGTAGAGCACAGCAGGTGGGGCTGGAAAGAGGGGAGTCCCTGCCTTTGCCTGGGCAGAGGTGATCTACTTGGCCACTGATACCCAGACATCTTTCATTTTCGGTAGAGTTCTAATGAAGAAGAACCTCAAATTGAACCAAGATTACCAGTCAAGACAAGTTTAAGTAAGTGCGATTCCAGACTTCCAGCAATTGACCAAACATCAGTCAAGCAGAAACACAAAAGTACCATGACCATGACCCTAAGACAGACAGACAAAGTGGTCCCCACCCAGACGGACAAAGCAGTCCCCAACAAATCCTCTTCAGGTGAGTATCTGGTTTACTGAAATTCAGAATATCCAAAGTCCCAGTATTCAAGATAATGACAACAATCATTATGAAATTGGGGGTATGGGTTAAACCTAGTGTTCTCCAAGTGGCTAATTCAGGTTTTAGAAAGCCAATGGTCCTGTGTGAATGGTAAAATTAATTTTAGGGTTGAATACTAGGTCAAGGAGGCGTGAACTATGCAAAGTTACAGTCTCTGGCCACATTTTCTGCCCAGTCATTTGCTCTGTGTGGCACCTGCCTCAAAATTCTTCCTTTTCATCTTCTTTATCCATCATGGGGATAAAGGCATTTGGCCCTAGGTATCAAGTTTTATGACTTAAGCAAGAACATGAAGAGAAGTTTTCAAACACATCTGAATGGCATAATTTATAGCTCGGAGAGAAAGTAATAAAGTTCTCTAGTTCTGGATTTATCCTCTCCGGGAGAAAAGGAACTTGATAAATTCTCCCTTTTATACGATTTGGTAAATAATTCACTCTTTAGCTGCCTTGGAAGGAAAGACTAGTCTTCTGCTTGGAGCAAGAATGACTTCATAGTATCCAGAAAGGGGCTAAAATCAACTGTCCCTCAAGCTCATCCCCATCAAAGCCAACATCTTAGGGCAAACCTGATTCCTCAGGGAGCCAATGTCTAAGCTGGGGTGACCAGGTGGGAAGGGCCGCCTTCTGTGCTGCAGTTGAATGGGAAGGAGCCAAACTAATTGCGGAAGAATCCATCACTAGCATGCAATTCATTAAAACCCAAGTCACAGCTACTTTCTAATCCTAGATAGCTGCTGTCACACACCCATCCGTCTAGTTAAATCTTAATGCATTCTTTGAAAATGGCAGCTTTCACTCAGATTAACCACCCACAATTATTGCTTTAATGAAGTCAAAACCAAATTGACTTCTGGAGTGATGTCCTCTTAGGCAAAGCCCCAGTCTTGCTCCTTATTTAATCAGGGGAAAGTGTCATCATAGCTAATTTCTCATTTTAAAGACTTCCATCAGGACTGGGCTTTTAATTCAGCTGTTGAAGATCGAAATAAGAGTAGATGAGGTCATTCTGCAAATATTTCACAAGTAGTAATTCATTGAATTGAGGATGTTTTGAATCACAAGACTTTGAGTGTAAGTACAAACAATGTGACTCCATCCTTTCAATATAATATTTAGCCCTTTTGCTAAAATCGAGTAGCTGTTTGCCTAGTGTGCTTTGTCATGTGTGGAGAAGAGTCATTAAAATGAACCGGTTAGGCCTACTCAATGATGTAGTTGGTCTGATTAACACAGATGTTTTCAGACTGAGCAAACTCCATATGGAACTTACAACAGTGGCAAAAGGGGGAATCGATTCACTTTACATTCTACAAAACATCAAATTTGAAGAATTATCCGACTGAAAAACACCAACGTTTTGGCAAGAGAGCCAAGTTGGCTAAAAGATAACCTACTTCCTCAATGAGTTATGCCACTCATAGTAAAAGCCTTTACAAACTGACAGCTTTGTCACTGTATTATGGCCTTAGACTATGTCCCAGAGCCACGGCGCCAAGAGCCAGACTGTGGCCTGACGTCCAGTGAGCATAGCAGTCCTGGTGATGGGTGGCAATTGCTACAGAAGCTGAATCAGTTGTGCAGCAATCTGGCTAAAAACAAAGCATTGGTGTGTTAAGATCCATCGGTTTGTACAGATGTGGACACACCCTGGGAGTCCCCACAGTAAAATCGGAACCTAGAGATGTGGCAAGAACTGAAGCTGAGTCTGTTCTGGAAAAGTTGATTTCGCGTTTGTGGTGATAATAACGCAGACAATTCAGATACACACCCTGCTGTGATAGAAAAAGAGGACTGGGGATGTAATTATGTGGACATATTGATCTCGTTCATTAGCTAAATCCACAGTGTCTTGCCTTTCTTCACCTCTGCAGAGAGGTGATTCAGAGTTGGCAGTGAGTCATCAAAACTTCTATCCATGTCAGACCTGAGAGTCTGCGCAAAATCAGAGCATCGAACACAGTGAACTTTCTTGGCAACATCCGCCTAATAAGCTAAACCTTCATGTTGTGTTGTGCCAGATTCTACCAAATAAAATAATATAGCTGGGGACTATGGCTCAACTTACTGCACATTTATGCAATAATCTATGTCATTAAAAATAGGTTTTTCCCTTGTGTATGAATTGCCACTTAGAATCCCTCAATTATTTATAATAGAGAACTATTGGTGCCCTCTACAAATATATAACCAATAATCTAGGGTCCTCAAACTTTTTAAACAGGGGGCCAGGTCACTGTCCCTCAAACCATTGGAGAGCTGGACTGCGGGCCCCGGGACGATTCGGCTGCTAAGCAGGACAGGCAGCGGCAGCAGAAACACCCAGCGGGCCAGATAAATGTCCTAGGCGGGCTGCATGTGGCCCGTAGTTTGAGGACACCTGCAATAAGCCATCAGATTCTCTTGTTCTTCACGCTGTTAGAAGTTCATGCATTTAAATGAAGCTCATATATCCCCAAAACTTTCTAGATGAGTTGATGTGTGACATCCCTGGTTCTCTTGCTCCAAGCAGTGGAGTGTGCAGTTTATGGGCATGGGCTTTGGAGTCAAAATGCTTCATTAGCATCTGGGACCCATTTCTTATTTGTCTTATACCTTTGGGCAAGTAACTTCTTCATGCCTCAGTTTCCTCATCTGTAAAATGGGGGAGCCCGGTAAAAACAGATCCTACCTGCTGAGATTGCTGTGAAGACTTGATGATAAAATCTACGTGCAGCCGTTAGAACAGTCCTGGCGCTGTGACCACTCAACAAATTATAGCATTATGCTATCCAGCACGTGAGAACAGCAGTTAGTAAGGAGATTGGACTAGAAAACTTTGTCTGAAGGTTTCCTGCCCCCATCTTCTTTTCCTTCACAAAAATTTTACAAAAGTTTCCAAAACAAAACACCAAATGGAAAAAGATGAATAATCAGAAAGCGTCCAGCAAGCCGGAGATATGCTTTATTTCCAAAAAGACATGGAAACTTCAGGCAGGGAGTCAAGACCCAGCTGGGTCTTATGCACAATTGATTCCAAAATTCCACCAAGGTGAACACTGGTGTAGGGTGAGAAATAAGCCTCAGCAGGGTTGTGTGCTCTCATTTCGGAATCTGTATGGGTGGGTGAGACGCAGAGCAACCGGCAGGCCCAGGAGGTGCAGGGGTGCAGGGACGCTCAGGGAGCTGTGGTGGTCTCTGACTCCTGCCTGCCCCGAAGACCTCTCCCAACCCCAGGCAGAGTTGGAAAGGAGCCGTGTCTCCTTTCTAGGACACAGAGAGGCATCCAAAGGCCATTGCTGTGGGGTTCTGGGACCCAGAGTCCTGAAGAGCTCTCTACTCCAGGGCAGGCCCGTGGGAAGACCTCGCCTGCTCTCTGCTCACACCTGGAGTTTGGGCACAGTCCCCCTAGTTAAAGTGCCAGGGAAACAGATCTGGATGGAGTCCTGGGAGCCTGCTTCCAAAATCTTGCCCTTTAAAACAAAGCCAAGTGTTCTGAAATTATCCTCACTTATTACTGAGTTCAACATTAGTCATTACCAGGTTCAGATTTGTAGGAGTAGTAAGACCTTTCAGCCTTAAAGTGGATTATGGTGAGGACATGTTCTTGTAAAACTAAGAAAAAGCAGGGAATTCAGATTTTAAAAGATAAACATCTGAAATAACTGTGGTCTCTTTTGGACTGGGAAACATTTATTTGAAGAGCAGCCTGGAAATTTAAGGGCAAATCCTAAATCTTCATAATTTATTTCGCAAATAAATTCTACTGAAGATTTTCTCTAAAAGGCCAAGATTAATGGGTTTCCCAGCAAACTCATTTGGCATCCAACAACTTTCCGACCTATCTGCCCAAGTTGGGGGGTGGGGAGCAAATGCTCCGATTTTTATAGAGTCCATCTGTGATGATAGTGTCTCTGTGACAGAGGGGTTCAGGGTTGTTCAAGAGCCCAGAATTTGAAGTCCTGGCTCAGATTCCTGGTTCTACTATTTTATAACCCTATAAATGTAAACTGGCAACTTCTCTGAACTGAAGTTTCCTCAGCAATAAAATGGAGTTATTACCCACCTCCACAGGTAAGTAGGAAGATTAAAACCCTGGATACAGCCTAAGCTTTAGGTGAAGGTCAATCCCTAGTCTGCTTATGAAATCTGCTCCCAATACCACCTGCTGCCCTGGGGTTGCCACCTTGAAAACTGTTTGACCAAAGAAACGAGTTTGAGATAGAAGAGTAGTTATAATTTGATTATTAAAAATGTTAACTGTTTGCTCATCAGTGAAGCCATGCATTTGTCCAGTGGGGTTGTTAGCAAACATCTAAATGCCCTGACCCTGTCTCAGGGTGTGTGGTGCCCAGGCATATTGGTTTCCTCAGCCATTACCGAGTCATTCAGCACTTTATTTACTGCACGCTGATCTGCGGGGCACTGAGAACGCAGAGTATAAAACACACAGGATCTGCCCTTCAGGGCTTGTAGGCTAGTGGGTGGGCAGGACCCCAAGAGGGGTAAATAGTATGTTTGCTTGTCCTGACCAAAGCAAGTTCCAGGAGCTTGTTGGCAGGGCCAGGTGGGGTGAAAATCCAGAAGGACAGGGGATTTAGCCAGGTGAAGAGGGCAAGAAAAATGTGCCCACCAGGAAATACTGAGTGCGCAAAGGCACAGGAGAGAATGAGAGCAAGCAAAGGAAGAGGGACCAGGTCCCTCAGGGCCTTAAATGTCATGCTGAAGGCGACGGAGCTATAGTCATCAAAGGGTTCCATATAGGGAAGTGATGCAATGAAATTGGCTTTTTTTTAAAAGCTGAATTTGACTGTAGCATGGAGAAGGGGCAGCTAGAAGGGTTGGGGTGGCTGGACACAGGCAAGAGACCAGACAAGCAGCAGTTGCAGCTGGCCCAGGAAGAAATGAAGCCTGGAGTGTGGAGTGCTTGCACGCCTGCCTTCTTGTAGCTGCTTTCTCAACCTAGCCCAGCATCACCATGGTGGACGCCTTCCTGGGTACCTGGAAGCTAGTGGATAGCAAGAATTTCGATGACTACATGAAGTCAATTGGGGTGGGTTTTGCTACCAGGCAGGTGGCCAACATGACCAAGCCTACCACAGTCATCGAAAAGAATGGGGACACTATCATATTAAGGACACAGCGCACCTTCAAGAACACAGAGATCAGCGTTAAGCTTGGGGTGGAGTTTGATGAGACAACAGCAGATGACAGGAAGGTCAAGTCCACTGTGACACTGGATCGAGGCAGACTTGTCCACCTGCAGAAGTGGGACGGGCAAGAGACAACCCTTGTGCGGGAGCTAAGTGGTGGAAAACTTATCCTGACGCTCACCCACGGTAGTGTAGTTGCACTCGCACTTAAGAGAAAGAGGCATGACCTGCCTGTGCCTTCGCTGACTGCTGCTGATCGGCTGACCCTCGACTCAGAACCACATTGCCTCATTTTTTTCCTCTGCATTTTATATAAATATATCTTGGTTGAGGGATTCTTTTGGAGTCAGGTGCCACCAGCCTGGATCCAGTTCCAGTTCCAAAAAAAAAAAAGAGAGAGAGAGAGAAATGAGGCCTGGACTTGTTGCAGAAGCAAAGGGGCTAGGGAAGAGAGGCATGGGCTGGAGGGATGTTTAAGGAAGGAGAGCTGGCAGAACTCCATGACTTGGCTGTAGGGATAAAGAAAAAGGAATCAGAACTCAGGGATCTGGCTCAGAAAACTCAGCCAGTGGAGGTTGCATTTGCCAAGGTTGGAAAAGCAAGAAGAGGATGGGTCTCCTGCTGTGGGTGTGGCCTTGCGGTGGGCAGCCAGGTGGAAATGCCAGGAAGTGCCTGGGGACCCAGGGCCGCTGCTCCACGGAGCGCCCCCTCACTGCCAGTTGCAATCCTGGGACAGTGAGAGGTGGTTGAAACTGCAAGACCATCTCCCCTGTGAGCATGGTTGGAGTAAGAAGGATGGTGAAGGAACGGGGGAGATAAGAACAGTTAAGGGAAGGATGGGGGAAGATGGCTATAGAGAGAAACAATCCTAGAAGTATTGGAACCACCCCAGGAGCCACTGAGGGAGAAAGGAGCGGATATTACTTGAACGCTCTGCAGCATGGCACTCCTGACCAGAAGCCCGCCACTGTGGGTAATGGCTTTCCACTGGATGCTTACGATGGCATTTTAGCACTGGACCTGATTGTAGCTGCAGCACTCCCCAAACTTACCTGATGGTAAGAATTACCAGGAGATACTTCATAGAAATACAGATTCCTGCTCCCCAGAGACTCAGAACCTTCAATAAAAGAACCAGCAACACCATGTTTCCAACAAGCCCTACAGATGACTCTCATCACAGAAGCCTGGGCAACTACTCACAGCCTTGCTGCTCCAACTTCAATATCCATGAGGAAAGCCTGGGGATTTTGATAAACTGCAGATCTGATTCAAGTTTGGGCAGCCTGAGATTCTGTGTTTCTTAGATCCTCCCAGGTGACATGGTGCTGCTGGCCTATCCCCCACCCTTGGAGGGGCAAGGCTAGAGAAAACACCTGTTGCATTTTGCAGATGAGGAAACAGGTTCTGAGAAGGTAAGCGGTTGATTCAAGGTGACCCAGCTGGTTAGTGGCAGAGCTGGGACTTGCCAGGCGTGAGGGGGTAGCTCTGAGTTATGACTCCTGCAGGCGCCCATATCCTGCCTCCACTGAGCAGGCAGTTTGACTGTGAGGCTAGTGAGCAATTCAGGAACTTCTGGTGGACACCTCTCCCATTTAACCTGCTTCCCCCTGCCCAGTTCCTCTCCCTTTCCGTGATCCCCCCCTCCCCGGGATCCCTCAGCTGCTTTCTCTTTTCCCAAGCTTCCCTTCGCAGCAAAAGGGCAGAAGAGGGCATGACCGCAACCTCCTAGCAGGGGCAGCTGGAGGACTGGGGGGAGAGCCTTTCCCAGGTGAGACCCCACAGGCTGCCATCTGTTGCTGCCAGAACAGCTTATTAAGCTGTCTGTGGGGGATGAGAAAGGCCCACATGCTTCCACATGGCCTTTCAGGACATTCCTGGGAACTTAACCAGGGGAAGAACTTCCCTACATCTGTCAGGGACACCAGGGACACCAGAGATGATTGGCTGGAAAAGGGTGTGATGATGCCACTTCCCTTGGTTAGTTCCTCGGTGACTGAGATCTAGGCAGGTGCCTCCTGGGCAGAAGCCAGGCCTGCTGCTCCTTACGCCACCTGGAGAAGACCCCATTCCTTCCCCGAAGAACAATTTTTGAGTTCTGATTCATTCACAGACTTTTTTTATGTCCTTGGCACCATGAGTGCTGCTTCCTGACTGCTCTTTTTCTTTTGTGCAGGTGACAGCAGCGAGCACCCCCTGTTCTGTGTTGAATATTCCCCTTACTGCTCCGTCTTTGCTTTCTCCCCTGTGCTGCAGCCCAATACCAATTACTGCTGCCTCGTCCTGCCACTAGTGCCACCTGCCTCTCCACGGGCCCAGGACACTCCCCTTTATGTGCCTCCAGTTACTCATCCCACTTACACGAGCCCCAGTGCCACCTCCACAGGGCCCACGCCTGAGTCTCCAGCGAGCCTGTGTTACTTCCCAGTCTCTTGCCCCACCCGGTCCGAGACCCCTGTGCTCTGCCTACAAGGCCCCAGGAGGCCCAGCAAAATTTACCTCTTGTGGTAAGTTGCCTTGGGCCAGGCACACAGCACAGTGGAGTCAGGAGAGGGGACTGCAGGTTCCAGCAGGCAGGTGGACAGGAGAGGGGCCAGAGGCAATGCCATGAACACTACCAGGAGGTATGGTGTGCAGGGGAGCAGGAAGACGGGACAGTGCTGCCACTTCATTCGGGCTCTACCTTCTAGTGCTAAAGGAGTGAGCGACCAATAAAATCCCATCCTCTCTGGAGACTCATTTGATTTCTTAACCTCCATGTCTGGCACACTGTGGAATGTCACCACCAGAAGCTGAACAGGCTCTTGTGTGTCTGATCGTGCCCTTGGCTATGAGAATCTGCACACGCTGGGGCTGCCCTGAGAGGGTGGCACCGGGCAGGGTGCTCTGAAAGCACACACGGGGGACTGAAAGCCCATTCAGAACCACCCTCCGGAGGGACAATCGAGAGAGCTCAGTCAGTGTTTACATTCCCTTTCGTGCCTACTTATTAGGCATTCCATTTCCTAAAATCAAAAATCCCACCTCCTGAGTGCCAAAATAAAACATATTTATGGTACATAATTAAGCTTTAATTAAGATCTCCTCTGGGCATGCAAGACAACACACATTTCAAGCACATTCAAATAGGCAGATAGACGCAGCCCGTTATTTGTGACCGTACAGAAAGCTGCCTATTACCCCAGGGCAGCACCAGCTCTTACTATGAAGCTGTAATTCTTGGCTCTAGCCAAAAGAAGCAACACATTTTTCACACAGGCATCTCTCCGATGGAATCTTGGCCCCACCTAGGCACTGGGGAGCCCATTAAGGTAGTATGGGGGAGGGATAAAGGTTCAGGAATTATGTTTTCCTCTTGCTCTTGCTTTTTGACCTTGTCTGTCAAGAGCTGTGTCTGTGTCTGGCAAGTGATGTGAGGAACTGAGTAATTAGCTGGAGCATGGGATTAAGGTGGATACCTGAATGGACTTGGTTCTCAGTTGCCAGGGTCTTGTATAAATATGAGATTTCTGTCTTTTTTCCCCCTTTCCTGGTCAAATTAAGAACTGTTCAGTCAACAATAACAGTTTCCCAGCATTGTCAAGAGAACTGAAGCAGATAGATGCCTTTTATCTAAACAGCTATTTGGTTTCTGAAGGCATCACTTTGCTCGGATGCTGGAAGGAAGTATGGGCTGTATGTTGTCCAAAGCAAACCACAGTCTTCCCAAAATTCGCTGACAAACAGGATATTGAGTTACCTGGCAATGAAACTCCTGAACACAAATGCTTCCCTTTTCTGTAAGGCAAAGGGCTTATCCTGCTACTTGAGGGGAAGTTATATTTCCTCTTCCAGTGTAAATATGACTTAGTCTGCCTGCACATTAATACATGTTCCATGCCATGGGGAGGACCCATCGTAGAAAGCCTCCAAAGGTCGGAAATTTGGCTTATTTTCCATGTAGGTAAAGTGATTAGGAACTTGGAATACAAGTTGAGTGTTTGAAACTCTTGAATGCATGCAGACACAAGCCGTGCCGTCAAGGTCACCTCATTTGTGACTATGAGTGCAGACAGAAGAAGAAATTTTTTTTAGGAGTTTGATGTTTATAGGGGAAAAAAAAGGTATCACGGAGAAGTCAGCAGTGCAGCCAAATTAGATTATAATAATCTTTAAGGTCATGAGCAAAATGTCTCACTCATCTTTGTGAACCCTCAAATTATTGCCTAGCGAAGGCACACAGGTATTTGTTGAACAAATTATAATAAAAAGAGTTGCTATTTGCCTTTTGGATTTTAAAAAAGAAGATTGAGGGAGAGAATCAACAAGAACTTCACCAGCATAAAGGGTACCGAATAAGTTATTCTCAACCTGTGGAGCCTGCATAGTAATGAGTTTCTGGTCAAACTCAGTTGTCTCATGAGTGGGCCTTCAGAATAGTGGCCTTCATTATGGTGGAAGCAGCAGCTATCATTTTTAGCAATTAATATGTGCCAGACACTGAGTTAGGCCATTTATGTACATTATTGCTAAACTGTGTAGTAACAAGATAAGATTCCTGTTTTATGATGGGCAGAAATCGTAGGCAGTTTGAGGATCCTGCCTGCAACCAGTGATGGTGATTTCTTCCTGGCCAGGAGTGGTGAAACGATCTCTGGTGGTTCAGCTTTATTTCTTTAGTTTGTTGAGAACTTTGAGGACACAGAGTAATGGTTTTGGAGATCATTTAAGAGCTCTGATGCTTTGAAGGAAGCAGATTTTTGAAGAAAACAAATGAAGTAACCTTTTATCTTAAGCTATCTTGGTGTTTTGCACAGCAAAAAAAACCTTTGTTCTAGTTCTGAAGTTTCCCTGTAGTTTGGGCTGAATACATCTTCTTGAGACCTGTAAGTCATAATAGGCAATTAGTATTTGTCCTGCGTGATAGTACAGGGCAACACATAGACTGGATAAGAGATGCCGAGCCCTTCCGGAGCTTACAGTTGAAGAGAGAAAACACACACCCAGCAAGTAGTTTTAGAATATTTAAAGGCTAAAAGCCATAAAACACCCCAAAGTGAGAGTTCTGGCCAAAGCAGAGTCAGAGCAGACATGGTGGAATAAAACTGGAAGCAGACCTTGAAGGGGCTGCCGGCTGGTGTAGAACGGGAAGGAAAGGCCTTTGGGATGTGGCAGAGCACAGAGGGAGGTACTGCCGGCAGAGTGAAGTTCTGCTGCCTGGAGTGTGGAGGAAATCTGATTATTCCACTGGGACTGCTGCTGGGAATGAAAGTGAAATCTTCATAAGGACCTTTGGACCAGGTCCTGGTTTTCTGGACTTGGCCTGAGACCCCAACCTGCCCTTTCCCTGGCCCTCCCTCTCTTTCCTCCTTGGTATAGGAGGATCCTGCAGCTTACTCTTCTGTCACGTGGAAGGCAGGAGGGATGAGATCCCAGGTGATCAGGGAGAAACCTCTGGATTCAAGAAATACAACTTCTGGCATTGAGGAAATGCTTCCCCCCATTTCCTCTGTGGGTGCCTTACTGTAAAGCACCTCATCTCTCTCTCTTTCCCCCTCCCCTCTCCCTCCCTCCTCCTCTCTCTTTTGGTCAGTGAAATCATGTCGAATCACTACCCTACACCACTACCACCCCATATTCCAGAGAATTCCCACTCCCTCTCTCCTTCCTGGAGCCCAGAGACACTGGCCCCACAATCTTTCTGGGCTCCACCAACTTGCCCTAAGTTGACCAAACACCACCAGCAGCTCCCCTCTTCTAATTGCCTGTGGAACAAGGTTCCCTCTGTCTTGGAGCATAGAACCCACTCCTCCCGGGCCTCTCAGGAAAAGGAAGCAGACCCAGCCATCGTGTTAAATTAGGCTTCATGAGCTGCCAAAGAGAAAGAACTTTCATTCCTTTCTTGAGTCTCTGTGAAAACTATTCACGCAACCACAGCTTACACTCTGGAACATAAAGCCAGTTGTCTCCATGTGCCAGGAAAGCTCTTGAGCACAAGTCAGGGACCCTTCCCAGTTTTCTCCCGCTAATGCCTACTGGCTGAGTCTACCTGTGAAATTTCTAAACTGTCTAAAAGGAGGTGATCCAGGCATGTGGTCTTGGGAGATTTAGTCCAGATACTCACGATTTAACTGCCTTATGAACCCAAGAACTTGTAAAGATGCACGGGAATTAGTGAAACTTTTTCTGCAATTCACATGCACTGATGCTAAACACACGTGAAGAAGAAACTTGAAATTGCTCATACCAATTAGCAAGCAAACCGAAAATATTAATTTTTAAAAAATGTTCATCAGGAACTCAGTCCACAGTAGCACCCCTGCTACTGTCTTCCTGTGAGTGCGTCACCCACACAATAGGGTCCCCCGTGCTTGGAGCCTTTCTATATACCCATGTTTGCCCCCAGTAAACAACCCGAGGAGATAAATAAGGCAGGTACAAACCTAGGTGAGCAGCTGGGGAGCAGTGTGTCCCACTGTGGAAGGCTCTTGAGTTACTAGAAGGTCCGTTCCAACACCTATGAATCAGAAGCTAGAAAATTCTTAGCAGAAGGAAAGATCCCTATGGACTCTGCATTGCAGGTGTCATGATGCTCACGGTAACAGCCTTGTGAAGCAGGTATTTTTATATCCACATAACAGGTGGGGAAACTGAGGTTTGGAGAGGTGAAGTGATCTGCCCAGGCTCCACAGGAGCGGAGCCGGGTTTCAGTTCCAGCTCTTCCCTCTCCTCTTGGTCCACTCTCTTGACAGCGCTGCCCTACCCCGATTGTTGGGCCCTTCACCCTTTCTTTATGTGGAAGATATTTCCCTGTAAGAAATTAATTATTGAAAAGATTTTGCCCCTTTCAGCAGCCCAGGCACCAAAGATTTTGTCAAAGAAGAGGAGGCCAAACCTAGAGAGACTGACAATCAGCCCAGAATTGCACAGCCCAAGAGCGTCTGGGGACAAAAGCAGACAGAAACCACAGTTGCCGGCAAAGGCGCCAGCTCTCAGGGGAGCAGGTAAGGACTGTGGCTGTGTCCCCTGGTGCTCAGAGGGCAGGACTGCTTTGTGCTGTTACTTGGTGAATTCTTTATGATCTTTAGATACTTGTGCCTTGAAGTGAAGAAGGGTGTGCCTTAAAAGGAACCACTTGAAAGGTTTTAAAAGCAAACTAGTTGACCTAGGGAGTTTGTTCCTCTGAGAGAGGCTGCTGGGAAAGAAAAGGGAGTGGGAGGAGTTTATCTCTTCTTTTTCTCTCCCATTAGTCCACGAGTATAACTGTGCATGGTTTTGAGTGGATGCCAGCCATGTGGCTTCCAGAGAGGGCATTTGGGTGGTGGGAGGCAGGGGGCTGGGGAGGGGAAGGTGGAGAATCAGTCAGCAGTCTGCAGCTCTGGGGATGTCTCATCTGGCCACAGTTCCCACTCACACCCCCCCAGGAGGGGAGGAAGGGTGTCTGTGGGTGGCAGACTGCTCACCTCCCACAGAGATCTCCCTTGTGATCCAGACACTCACGGCAGCAAGTTTGTGATGTGCAAGAAATAACATGAGAACGCATATGTGCTTTATTTCAAAACACTAGTTTGGGAGACAACCCCCTCGGGACACAAGGAAAGTGACACTTCACAGCCAACCTTGCCACAGACCTGTTCGTCCCTTATAGAAACACAGAGCATAACCCTAAGTGAACAGAGTAGCCCTTATTTTTAATTGTGATATATACTGTGGTGGACACATATGTAACACAGCCGGGTGCCGTGGTAACACCTGTAATCCTAGCACCGTGGGAGGCCAAGGCAGGTGGATTGCTTGAGCTCAGGCGCTGGAGACCAGCCTGAGCAAGAGTGAGATCCCGTCTCTACTTAAAAATAGAAAAACTACCCAAGTGTTGTAATGGGTGCCTGTAGTCCCAGCTACTCGGGAGGCTGAGGCAAGAGGATTGCTTGAGCCCAAGAGTTTGAGGTTGCTATGAGCTATGATGCCCCAGCACTCTAACCAGGGCAACAGAGTGAGACTCTGTCTCAAAAAAAAGAAAAACAAAAAAAAAAAAATATATATATATATATATATATACACGTATATATGCATATATATACACATAGAAGAACGTGGTGGTATTTGGATGGCTTAAAATTAAAGGTACTTAGGGCATAAGTGAGTCTGTAGTCAGAGACTTCCACAGGGGGTCCTGTTGGAACAGGCATGAGCTCAGGCACACCTTGGTTCTAGCTCCTGCTCTATCTGTCAGCAGTGGGGTCATGGGTGCTCAAGTAGACACCTGGGTTACAGTTCCCTTATCTTAAAACATGAGTAATGAAATGGACCTTGTTGCATTGTTATAAGTAAAATATAGACCAGTCCCTGGCACAGAACAGATCCACACGGTAGGCACTGAACTACTCTTCTGCCACCACCCCAGCTTTCCTCAGTGAAGTGTTGAATATTATTTGAAAGGTGAAACATTCCTGGACCCATGGCGCTCCTAAATCCTCCATCTGTACCCAGGAGACATGTCCCATCATCCTGTGATCCACTGAGAATTTGTCCCAATTTTCTGTTATACCCAGGGGTCCTTATCTTCCTCAATTATCTCCTCACTAGTCTCCTTTTAGTTCCTTTTCTCCCACAGTAAATTGCATAAATTCAAGTAGGAGCCAGATATTGGAATTGTATCAGGGAGAGATTTGAAGCAAATGTGACAGAGATAAAATACAGAAAGCTCTTGCAAATCAATAAGAAAAACACAAATACTTAACAGAAAAATAAAACGGGAAAGGGCATAGCAGACAATTTCACAGAATAAATACAGGTGGCTAAGAAACCCTTTTTTTAAAGTTCAACCTCAGTCAATAAGAAATGTAAATTTACATGAGATTAATTTGGGCTGCTAATCTGGTTGAGGTTTTAAAAATAATAGCAGGGAAGCTAACAACTGATATTCCTGGGCACCGTTGTGTCACAGTTACTGACATGGGTTGCTAGCAAAACAGCTGTTAGAAAGATGTCTTCATGTCCTGCCTGTAGGGTAATTTGGTACCAACCCTCTAGAAGGTCATTTGGCAACATGTGTCAAAGCCTTTATAAAGCTCATGCCTTTGACCTAGCAGTTCCACCTCCCTGGATCTATTCTAAGGAGATCCGTCATCAAAGATCCAGGAACAAGGGTATCGAAGTATAAACCACGACAGCAGAAACCTCAGAACAACATATATGCTCAGTGGGGAAAGAGTTTAAAAAAAATTAGATAGACATTTATACTATAATTGATATCATGGACTTAAAGAATAAATTAATGGCATGAGGTAGTTCCAAGCCTGCCACCCGGGCCTGAAACCCAGAGCAGCAGCAAGGCTAGGTCATTGAGTTTTGGGTTATGGGTGATTTTAATTTTTTTCCCCATCTTCTTCCTCAGTTTCCAGATTTTCTCCAATGATCATAAACCACTTTTATAACCAGAGGGAAAAAATTAAGAGTACATGGCTGTCAGAATGTAGGAAGCCATGGGCCAAGCACATGAGGAAGTCCAGGCTAAAGGCAAAGTCTCGGGCAGACAGGGGCTCGTTCTGTCTTCCCGACCCGAGCTCCTGGAGATGGCAGGCAGGCTGCTCACGGCAGGAGCCCACAGGGCCCCAGAGAAGCTTTCACAGCATCTGCAGGGCCTGGTCTATGAATAGCACATCCCTGGCGTACCAATTTGAGTGTTTATTCCCAGCCCTAGAGCTACTGAAATCTGCTCTCTATTTGATAGACATAAAAAATAGGGTTAAAGTAGCATAAATATAGAATGGCACAGTCTGCCACCTCTAGGGGAAGCACGCAAGCTTGTGCGCACACACCTCGGAGAAGCTCTGGATTTTTAAGGAGGAAGACCGTTGTGGTGACAGGGAAGGGCAAAGGTGCCTTCTCTGACATGTTTCAGGGATCTGCAGGAGCTGTAAGTAACCTGAGACTTCTCCTGCCCCAGGGCCGGTGTCTCCCTGTGATGCCTCAGTGGCTTCTGTGAAATGAGCTTATGGTTCCTGTTGATTTTCCAGTTTCTGTTTTTCAGAAGCCACCCTAGCTGATTGTTTTGCCCATTGGGTGTTTTCCCCTTACCTGGTCAGAAGGTTGAGCTGCAACTGCTCGGGGCAGAGGGCACAGCTGCCCGGTCTCTAGCAGGTTGTGTGTTCAGGGAAGGAAACTTCATCAAATTCAAAACAAAATAATCAACCAGAGCCTATACTTCTGACTCCTCTATATATCACCTTTTTACTAAAAGAAAAAAAAAGTTATCAGGAGGATTCAGTTGGTTATGTGGTTATGTAGAAGCATTTGTCCCCCCCAATGTGGTCAGCCCAGCCTGGGGAGGGCATCCACATAGCCAGATGCCCAGAGCATCCTTGAATTGCTGATACATCTCTAGCTGGGGTTTATGAAACCCATAAGGGCCTGAAAGGAGAGCTTAACTGATTTCTAGAAGAGCTGATGAGTAAAGATTCACACTGTGTCGCTGAGTGTCCCATGCCGTTAACAATAAAAGAAGCTTACAGAGTATTAGGACATTAGAGACTCAAGCTGCCTCTCCCCTGTGAGGCGCCTCAATTAACTGAGTCAGTATTGACTTGGACCTCAGCTAAGCCGGTTGCTCTGAGGATTTGCATTTCTCCAGTCAAAGCTGTTATCACACAACCTTCCTGGGCCTGTGGAGGCCTGTCCACTCCACAGGGTGACCTGCTACAGAAACAAAATGGTAAGGACCCCGTCAGATCCCACAGAATAGCAGAGAGAGGGGTAAAGGTGGGGGGGAGGCTGATGTCAGGATGTAAAAGGTAAATGGAACCAGGGAAGTACTTACGGTTTCTACGCACATCGATGGGGAAAGACCTCTCAGCAGCACACATGTCACCATGAGTGCAATGGGTCTATATTTTCATGAGGAAATTGGAAGGCCAGGCAGTTTCTTAAGGGATCACCCAAGGTAGTAGTTAAGATCATAAACCCTGGTATCAGGCAGGCTGAGGTTCAATATCCAGTCCATCACTTACTGGAAGCATGATCGTGGGCTGGTAATGTAAGCTCCCTAAGCCTTGGAGCCCTCATATAGTGTGGGGTGATTGTGGTGCCAGTTTCATAGGGTTCTGAGTCTTGGGGGTATGTGAAAGAGAGAGAGACATGTGAATAGCATGGTCCTGACCCACTCTGTGTAAGTAGTGTTTATTTGTTATTTCTCTAAGGCAGAGATTTTCAACAGGTGTGCCGTGAGTGGGTCTTAGGTGTGCTGCAAAAAATTTTAAAGATCATTAACTATTAATAAAAGTAGTTCAAAGCACAGTAAGTATATTCTTTGTCTTTCTCTTTTTTTTTTGATCAACATAATGTAACTGTGTTGTGGAAGTTTAACTATCGGTTCAAGTGGGCTGTGGGATAAAAAGGGTTGAAAAACACTGCCCTAAGGCACTGCGAGTGATTTCCCTGACAAAAATCCCTACTCAGGAACTTTGTCTCTCTCTCCTCTCTCCAGCTCCTTACACTTAGACTCAAAAGGGGTGTGGAAGTAGGGATTCTAAGATAGCCAGGGGTTATAAATTGACCTGGGGCTAGGGACAGAGAGGAGATGATTATATGAAAGATTTATCATTTTTATTTGCACTAAACAGCATAAACCAGATCCATCAGTGTGCCTGGCACCCACTTCTAGAGCCTTCCTCCCAAACTGCCAAGATAGTACTGCTCTTCAGTTTTTGTAAAGCTGTGTGGGAAGCAGGACACTGTATGCTGGAAGAGTCTGGACGAGAAAAGACTGGTGGTTTTTGTAGAAGTCATTCCCAGAGTGCTGGTTTTCCTTTTCAATAAATAGGGAATGAAAACCAGTACTTAGTAAGAGGTTTACCCATCATCAGCCCTGACTGGCTAGAGCTGGGCCAGTCTTCCCAAGGCTTCTTTGGTATGTATCTGTATCCTCAGGGTCACCCCATTTCCCCAGAGCCAGCCCGAGCTCCACGGGTGTACCAAGGAGAATTCAGAAGCAGTAAAACAAAGCCTACTGTCCTCTACCCCTTGTGGCACTCCAGCCCCTTGGCCCTACACACTATCTTGTCCAGGCTTGGTTGCTGCCTTTCATCCACTCTCATCCTTGGTGCTAGAGGCCTTTCATCCACGGGCACTATTAATAGAATGATACATTTGTCTTTTCTCAACGCAGATCCAGTAGTTCAACAAGAAGGACCCATGTGGACAGGTGACACTAAGCTGAAGAGGCCACCTCGAGAGAGAAGAAACTTAGTCCCATCCTCACAGCTGATGATGACTGACAACCCTCCTGAGAGAGCCAGTAAAAAAGACCTGAGTCCTCTTTCCCAGAGCGAGACACATGCTGCCCTGTCCCAGGCCTTCCAAGGAATAAATAGTCCTCAAGTGCTAAGCAAGTCCTTGGGGCCACCACTCACACCCACCACCGTGGGAGGGCCAAGAAGGGCACCGTTTAGGTTCAGAGATGAAGATTTTTATTCCGTGTTATCATTAAACCCTGGGAGAGAAAATTATGACACTGAAGAGGAAACCCACTTGGAAGAAGAGCTGCTGGTGGTTGGCATGCAGTCACCCCACTCTCCTTCCAATCCTGTAAGAAGTAGATTTGGGGGGACATCAGCCACTCAGGCCAAAAATAAAACTTTTGAAGAAAGTGCTGAAAAAAATGGCAGAGATAATTCTCTAAGAAGATGTGAGCCCAATAATGGTTCATTAAGAATAGGCAATGCCACAGAGCCAGTGACAAAGCCGCCTTCTGTCGGGCAAAAGTTGTTCCAAGACTCCGAGCTGCTTCACAGGGAGTCTGCTAAAGAGAACGACAGCAGCGGCAGTGAAAATAAGACTCTTCCTTCATGGGACCCCCAATCCAAACCCAGACAAGATGATGGTCTCAATGCTGAGAATCTATCTAGTGATTGTATTTCTATGGAAGATAGGGCTGGTGCCCATGATTATGAAAGAGATTGGCAAGACTATTTAAACAGTTCTAGAAATTCTCTTGACTGCTTTCTTTCTAGTAGACCAATAGCTCCAAGATCATCCATGAATTCATTTAACACTCCTGTGTCATTAACACATGTTCCTCTGAGAAATGATATTCCAGGAGACTTGTCAATGTCATCGACTTTGGTTCATAGCTCAGACTCAGAGGGAAACCCAAGGTTTAATATTCGCCGACCACTTTCCCCCATTAGAAACAGGAATTCACTTGCCAATACTGAAAACCACAATTATTTTCCAGTAAATAGTACACCTGAATTTGATGTCAGGGGAGCAGAAGACATTACTTTAAGAAGCCGACTTCAGAGGGCTCCGCTATACCCAGATGACTTTTTACTAACTCCACAAAGCAGCTTGTCCTTAGTGAATTCTTCCAACTCCTCTCCACCAGGAATGAGCATACAAGCCCATTTTCATGTGCCTGGGTCCCTGCAAGAAAATATACCATTTACTTTCTTTGCCGTGTCAGATTTCCCAAATCAAAATGATCATGAGAACATAATGGCATCCTTTGGTTACCCAGATGGACAAGAGACCACTAAGATAAAGACAGACCCTGTGAAACTTAAGAAATTGCAAGAAAGGTGAGGAATTTTCCTAATTATATGTATAAATATATCCCCCCCCTCCAATCTTTCCAATGCTGAATAAGCACTGCTTTCATTAGAGAGTCACGGGAATTTTAAATCACAAATAGGCCGTTCTTCGACTTTTCAAATGGTTGCTTATTCTGAGAAAATTTTCTTCGTTTTTGTTGTTTTTACAACATACATACATATCAAGAAAAGTTTGGGGTTCGTGCTCAATTTCTTCAGTGTTCCCCGCATTCAAGTGTTTTTCTTGAATACCATAGCTTTTGGAAAGGCAGGTTTGCAAGGCACAGGGTTTCTGACTGCGACCCGGGGCTTACTCTCCTTTCCAGCAATTAGGAACCAAGATTTTTTTAGGAAAAGGTCACTATCTCCCCAGAGAAAGAACCATTTGGCACTTGAAGTTCACAGCTCTACCTCACGTGACTTATCCCAAATCTAACCAACAGTTCTAGAATTCGAAACTTACAAACCGAAAGACTGGTTCCCAGTTACCATGGTTACTTCAGTTCTCTGAAGGGCTGCGCTGGGGTAACCACTGTTTCCATTTTATGCGCTCCTTTTCATGCACGAGAGAGAGAGAAATAAGATCTTTTCTGAATCGCCCTTTTCTTTGATCTTTCCTTTCTTGTGAGATGATTTGGGGATATTTCACAGCTATGAAATTTGATACTTTTTAAAAGCCATCATTAAATACCATGTCAGGATTCTACCACGCCGTGGATGATAGGTGTTTACCATGCCCTGATCTTGGCTTACGGATGTGGAAATTGATTCTTGGAATCTGAGCCCTCCGTGCATGTTGTTAGTGTGGCTCCTTTGGGCCGTCAATTATCCTGTTGATATTCATTTGTGAGAAACTTCCATGTCGGTGAATTAGTAATGTATAAAGGAAAGGGAAATGGGACACAGAACCCATACATATTCCTATATGCCTTTTATCCAACTCCAGTAATGCGGTAACTTTCTGGTGAGCCGTACCTTTTCTGTTCCATGTTAAATAGGCTACCCGAAGACTGATCCGTGATTAAGGGCCAAGAGACCTCCTCACCGCCCTCAACCTCACCCACCCCAAAATATAGCTTCAGACCTACTTGTTAGAAGTCTGGACTTCTACTATCCCAAAATGATGCCTTTGAGCTAAAAATAACTTCTTTTAAAATGCATCTGCTTTTAGGCACAGTCTTGCCTTCAATAGTTATTATTTGGGTACTTAGACACTAATTTTTCAGTGTGTAATAAACTTTATGCTTTTTTATTTTAAAATTGCTCGTTTTTGGAAATGTTTTAAATATAGACTTAAAAGAAAAACCATCTGTAACCCCACATCTTCCTAGGATAAGCACTGTTAAAAACTTTGTTTCCAGTCTTTTATCTTTGCATATAAAGGCGATTTTTAGGAAACGCTGGTTTGTGTTGTTCTATCATATGCCTTAGTTTAATATTTCAACCCTTTTCCCGATGTCACATATACTTTTTAAAAATTTCCCCTCAGTTAGTTACTTTAATATGTACAAGTAAGTATATAACATATGTATACTTTATAGCACTGTTTTTCAACCTTTTTTATTTCACAGCATACTTCAACTTGTCTATAGTTAAACTTTCACGGCACACTTACGTTGATCAAAAAAAAAGAAGTAAAAAAAAGAGAATATACTTACTGTGCTTTGAACTTTCGAAAATAATTTAACTAATCCTTAAAAATTTTTTCGGCACACCAGTTGAAAATCACTGCTTCAGAGAATTTTAGACACACACACGTACCCAGACGTCCCTGTGCCTGCCTCCAGCTGATGGAACATTCCTGATGCTCTGGAGCCCTCTGAGCCCCTAACCAACCCGTCCCCTTCCCTCCAACCCCCGCACCATTCCTCCACTGCCTTTATCATCCTTTCCTTTTTGATTTCTTGTGGGTTCTGTTTGTCACTGTTGATTTGAGACACAGTCTTACTCTCTCGACCCTGTCAGTGGTAACATCATAGCTCACTGCAATCTCAAGCTCCTGGTCTCCACTAATCCTCCTACCTCAGCCTCTGCCACGACACTTGGCTAATTTTTCTATTTTTAGTCGGGACATGAGGTCTCACTCTCAGCTCAGGCTGGTCTCAAACTCCTGAGCTCACGGGATCCTCCTGCCGCAGTCTCCCAGAGTGCTAGGATTACAGGCGCGAGCCACCACGCCTGGCCTGTTTTGCTGTGTCTTGAAGTCTTGGTTTTACTTTGGGCTTTTACCATATGTATCTATGTGTTTCTAAACAACACATGGTGTGTATTTTTGAACTCTTTGGAAATGTTAGTATTATTTTTGGACACTGTAGAAATGGAATCTCTAGTCTTCCACGACTTGCTTTTTCTTCTTACATCATTAGTGAGATGCGTCCTGGTTGATATATTTGGCTTTAGTTTATCCCTTTTCACCACTACACAGTATTCTTTCTGTTGTTTGAATCTACCACAATCTAGCCATTCTCCTGTGGACAGACACTGAGGTCATGTATTATTTCCTGCAAACTGCATGGTGTGAACTTGTCTCCTGGTGCACATGGGAGTTCTCTGGAATATTTGTCTGGGGTAGAATTGCTGGGCTGGCAGGGAACAAATCTTCCACTGTACTAAATAATGCAAATTTATTTTATTTATTTATTTATTTTGAGACGAGTCTCGCCATGTTGCCCTCAGTAGAGTGCCATGGCGTCACTGCTCCCAGCAACTTCAATGGGTTCAAGCGATTCCCTTGCCTCAGCTCCCCAAGCAGCTGGGACGATAGGCACCCACCACAATACCCAGCTATTTTTTGCTGCAGTTGTCATTGTTGATCAGCTGGCCCAGGCCAGGTTCAAACCTACCAACTTTGGTGTATGTGGCTGGTGCCATAACCACTGTGCTACAGACGCGGAGCCTAGATTCCTAATTTTAATGCAGTCAAATATGTCCGTCCATCCTTATGGATTTTGATTTGTATCTTGTCTTAAGAAATCCTTTCCTGGCTCAGCACCCGCAGCACAGTGGTTACAGTGCCAGCCACATACACCGAGGGTAGCAGGTTCAAACCAGGCCTGGGCCAGCTAAACAACTGCAACAAAATATAGCTGGAAAAAACAATATATAGCTGGGCATTGTGGTGGGCACCTATAATCCCAGCTACTTGGGAGGCTGAGGCAAGAGAATCACCTAAGCCCAAGAGTTTGTGGTTGCTGTGAGCTGTGACGCCACAGCACTCTACTGAGGGTGACATAATGAGACTCTGTCTCAAAAAAAAGAATCTGCTTGTTGAGGGTTCTATTGGAATTACATCAAATCTATAGATTATTCTGGGAGAATTGCCATCTTTGAAATCCTTCTTTGATAAGCATGGTTTATTTCTTGTGTCTTCTTTAATGCCTTTCAGTATAATTTTGTGATCTTCTTCATGAAAGTCTGTTGTTTGATAAAAGTCCCGTGGCTCTTTTATTTGTTGTTGTTTACAACCGAAACAATTTAAAGTCTAACTCTTAGTTGCTGATGTACAGAAATCCAATTTGCTATATGTTTTTATCTGTAATTTTGCTAAACCTTATTAATTCCTATATTCTGTCTGTAGTTCATTCATGGTTTTCTTTGTAGAAATTCATTTCAACTGTGAATGTGAATTCTTTCTTTCCAAACCCTATACTTTTTGATACTCTCCTTAATTTACATAGTTATAGAAATTCTTGAGGGCTACTTACTGTTATAATTTGATCATTTTTTAACATATTCAGACTTAATTAGAATAACTTCTTAAATGTATAATTGTGGATGAAAGGGAATGAACATTGTTAAGGCTCTTAATGTATATTGCCAAATCGCTCTGCGGGAAAGTTCTACACAGCAATCTCATCACTATTTTATGAGAGTCCTCTTTCTCCACATGCTTGCCAAGTCCAGGGATTTCCATTCTTTTTAATGTTTGCCAAATGATTAGCCCAAAATTATCTTCGTTTAATTTGTAAATTTTGTGCTTATTAGCAGAGTAAGTAAACTCTGAACTTGTTCCATTTATCATTAATCTGCCTTTCCTCATTTGTAATTGCCTGACCGTGTCCTGTGTCCGTTCTTCTATTGGGATGTTGGTATTGTTTTTTATCTACTAGAATATATAAACACTCCTTTTATAAAATCTATATAAATTCTTTGTCAACTTTTGTGCAGACACTGTTCCCGTTCTCTTCACTTTATATTTTAAGTATACGATGTTTTTGACATAGTACAACTTTAAGATCATTTGCAGTCAAATCTGGCAGTGTTGGCTTTTGCATTTGGCGCCATGATTAGAAACTCTAATGCTCACACACATGTCCATAATTATTTTCTTGTAGTATTGTTGTTGTGTTCTCATTTTACACGTCAGAGACGTTAAAAACATGAGCTTCATTGTCTTTTGGTTATCGACTATTAGCTCTGTGATTCTAGGCACGTTCCTTCATTTCTAAAAATCTGTTTTCCCATCCAGAATATAGAAATAACAATGTATACTCCTCAAAGGACAGTGAACATTAAATGAAGTTTTAAATGTGTATGTGTTATAGAGTACATAGCACACTGGAAGCAGTTACTATGTGGTAGCCACACTTAAATTCATATGGAATATGAATATGCATGGAGTGGGGTTCTAAGATCTTTTTTTCCAAATATTTACCCAGTTGTCCCACAATTAGTATATCCTTTCCTTACTAATTTGAAATGCAAGCCGGGCATGGTGGTTCATGCCTGTAATCCTAGCACCCTGGGAGGCTGAGGCAGGTGGATTGCTTGAGCTCATGGGTTTGAGACAAATCTGAGCAAGAGCAAGAACCCATCTCTAAAAAAAAATAGCTGGGTGTTGTGGCGGGCGCCTGCAGTCCCAACTACTTGGGAGGCTGAGGTAAGACAATGGCTTGTGCACAAGAGTCTTGAGGTTGCCGTGAGCTATGATGCCACAGCACTCTACCAACTCTACCAAGGGCAACAAACTGAGACTCAAAAAAAAAAAAAGCGGCCTTTGGCACACACTATCCTTATCATTCTGTTTTTGGACTTTTATGTCTGTTCCATTAATCTGCCTGAAATATTGCATCAGTGATACATTTTTACTTATTATAGATCTGTGAGTTTTTACAAATTTGTTATTGTAAGTCTCGCTTTATCATACTGCTTTTAAAAATGTTTATTGCCCATCCAAATTTAATTGCATTGTGATTTCAGAAAATGTGACATGTATTATTTTGTACCCCAGTACATATTCCGTATTTATAAATATGCTATGGCACTGGAAAAGGTTATATATTCTCTAGTCTCTCTTTGTTGGCACAGATACATAAAAAATATGTATTAAAATCCTTTATACTTTATTCTTTTCTATTGAATTTGTCAATTTCTGGAAGACGTTTATTAAACTCTCCCCCTGTGATCTGGACTCTCCCATTCTCCTTAGTACTTGTAAGAATGACTGATCTCTCCCTGGAGGGTTGATCAGTTTATAGCTTTAGACTTTCTAGCCCTGATTATATTTTATCCTTTAATATTGTTACATCTTGAAGTTTTGGTTAATCACACTCCTTAAATTAACCCAGAAATCCTCGTCTTCCCTCTGGTTGTTCCTTTTACGTGACAGCTGGCAATATTCTCTGGAATTTTCCTGAGAGTGATCTCCTCCATTTCCTGAATTATTGGTATTTCCTCTAGAGTCAGTCAGCTTCTCTTTCTTGTCCCCTCTCATTCACACTGTTGGTTTCCACATGTGACAGGCAGTCCCAGTCTTTGATGAAGGAATGAATGGGCGGTTCGGTTCGGTAGAGAGGGGGGAACTGACCTTCCAACTGTCCCCAGCATTGGAGTGCCTTGCTTCCTCTGAGATCGCTTCCTTAAATGGGAAGTTTTGTGTAAATGGAAAATAACAATGAACTTTTTTAAAACTTTGGCCTTCATGAAGAGTCCCCTTTGTTTAGCTTCAGCTGCAAAGCTCTCACCTGGGGAGAGGCATTGTCACTGCCCAGATAGCTGAAGGGGGGGACAGGGCTAGCTTCACTGTGCTGATGCAGTCTAGACTAGTTACCTTCATAAGTGCCCATCTCGGGTGTAGCCCAGGGCTGGAGTATCTCTGGGGCTGCCCTTTCTCCTCAGGGGCCCACTCCGTGAGCACATCTGAGGTTGGGCTGTGATTTTTCCTCTCCTGTTGTAGTTGTCATTGTTGTTTGGCAGGCGCAGGCTAGGTTCGAACCCACCAGCTCCGGTGTTTGTGGCTGGCTCCCTAGCCACTGAGCTACAGGCGCTGAGCCAGGAATCAAGTATTTATTAACGATAAAAAGCTCACCTTGATCCTACTGTTGAGATCAGTGGTATTCAGACCAGGCTGACCATTATAACATGCAGATTCCTAGGCCCCAGGTACTAAACTAGAATCCCTAAGGATGGAAGCCTGCTTACAAAGTTCCTACAGGTAAACCTGATGACCATTATTTTGGTTTGGAAACCGCTGATTTAGATAGATCACTTACTTCCCAAAGCACCACTTGGCACTTACCTGAATTAAAAGTCTTCTGCCAATTTTTCACCTCCCTTCTCAAACTTGCAAGATCAAGTTTACCTTCATCCACTGGGGCATTTACTGCACTGTGTACTCATTCTCCCAGATTACTTACGGGAACATGGAAAATATATTGAAATTTGTTGAAACCTCCATATTGAAAATATTTCTAAATTATTCAGAATATCCACAATGGAAAATTATAATTCTGCTCCTTCTCATTGAATTTCTGTGAGGGAAGGGCCCTTTTCTTCCCCTTTATTAGGGGAAAAGTTGTTTTTTTTTTTGCAGTTTTTGGCTGGGGCTGGGTTTGAACCCGCCACCTCCAGTATATGGGGCCAGTACCCTACTCCTTTGAGCCACAGGCACCACCCTAGATGAAAAGTTTTGTCAAGAGACCAAGCATGTATTTCTTTCTTTCTTTTGTTTTTGAGACAGAGTCGTGGTGTCACAGTAACCTCAAGCTCTTGGGCTTGAGCGGCCTCTGCCTCCCGATGGGACTACAGGCACCTGCCACTATACCTGGCTAGTTTTTTCTATTTTTAGTAGAGACAGGGTCTCGATCTTGCTCAGGCTGATGTCGAACTCCTAAGCTCAAGCTATCTGCCCACCTTAGCTTCCCAGAGTGCTGGGATTATAGGCGTGAGCCACAGGGCCTGGCCAGAAATACCGCCTGTATTCCTATATCCACAGTAATGTTCATGTCTTCCTTTCCTTTGATTTTAGTCTCCCGTCAGTTTCCTTTCCTTAATCAGACAGCACCCAGTCCCTCCAGGGAAAAAAATTCTAATGAAAAAAGTAGCCATAGGGTTCTCAACCTCTCCCACCGTGAACATTAACCAGCTACTCCTCCCTCACCTTATATTAGATGCACGCGTCTTTGCTTACGTTTTCATTAATTCTTGTCGTCATCAGATTCTAGCAGTTTACATTCTGGAATATTGACACCCTTTGCTGACAAGTGTTCTGTTCTCAGTGAGTTTGTGTCCAGGTTTGTTGGTTCATCATTCATCTGAACCAACATCTACCGAGTGGACTCGGTGCAAGTACTGGTTGCACTTTACAGTTTGCAAACCATGTTTACCATCCTTACACATCTGGTCTACCCCCGATTCTGTGAAGTAGGTGGCAGTGATGTTCTCACCAGGACCCTCATTTTACAGATGAGGAAACGGGGTCCCAGGAAGATTAAGAAACTTGTCCAAGGTCACATGGCTCACAGGTTTAAGAAGCAGGCTTCAAACTCAGGCCCCTGACCAGGAAGCCCCTGTGCTCACCAGTATACCACAGGCCAGTATCAGTGGCTGTGACAGGAAGGGGGAGCCCAGCCTCTACCCCGGTTCCCTTTGGAGACTTTTCTTCCTCCTCTTGATTTGTGGTGGCAGCACTGGTCCCCCAGATCAGCACACACATACCAACAGCTGCAAAGGAGCCTGATATAAAACAAGAATTCACACATCTATCATGAGGCCACTCGGTGGGGACCGTGGGGCCTGGGGGAGCCCCGGGATAGCTCCCACTTCCTTTTAGTGCCCTGGGAACTAGTATTTGTGAAAACTACAAACGTGTAGACTCCTGGTCACGAGAGCTTGTTTTCTATTTAGTCTCCTGGAGGAGGACTCCGAGGAGGAAGGAGACTTGTGTCGCATCTGTCAGATAGCCGGGGGTTCCCCAAGCAACCCCCTCCTGGAGCCCTGCGGCTGTGTGGGAAGCCTGAAGTTTGTTCATCAAGAGTGCCTGAAAAAGTGGCTGAAAGTGAAAATAACATCAGGTAGGCGGGAGAGGAAGCGCAGCAAACGTGCCATGGCGTATAATTAATATGAGACACCACAGTGGGGGCCTCGGAGCCCTGTCATCCGCTCACTCTCCCCCGCAGCACAGTAACTCAGGGACACGTGGCTGAGCTCAGGGTTCTTGCTCATAAACGCTATCTTCAAGTGATGGGAGGGAAATGAATTTTTTTTTCCAAGTCTGAGAGAAGAATCCCGGAAATAGATGCCATTGAATCCCACTCCTGCTTGAGGCCTGAGCAGAGATGCTCAGATCACCTCCCAGGAGGAAGGAACCAGAAGAAATGAGTCGGTGATGGAAGCTTAGCACATACACACCCCACAAAAATTATTTAAATAATTCAGAGACCCCCCCACCCCACCCCACCCCAGCTCACACAACTCCACTCTCTTTTATTTGGGGAGGGGAATGGGTATCACCACAGAAACTAAGCAAGGCTGCTCTTTTTTCAGTAGAGGTAAGAAAAGAACACCCATCTGATTTTCTAGAACCGTGTTAGATAAAGATATTTCCAGGTGCTGATTTTGACAGCTCCCTGACAGATCTTCTAACTGGGTGTGCAGCCCCTTCTCAGCTCCCTGGGGAGGTTATAACCCAAATACAGCCACATCAGTCGGGCGGCTGTAGTTCTTGGCAGAGAACGGAAGGTTTCTTTAAAACGTGGCGTTAGGAATGAGAGCAACTTTAACAAAACACACGGAACATCAATGCCAAGAGCAACTTGATCAGAAAATAGCTGCTAAGCCTTTCAGACGCACCTCTGTGAAAACATTTTACCCCATGGCCAGATTCTATTTCTCTCCTCTTCCATGTCCTGCTCCAAGTCCTGTTATCCCTATTCCGGGCCACCTGGGACACCTGGAGCTTTTCTGTCCCCATGGGATGTTCTGTGTCTGCTCACCAAGGACAGCGCACCATTTAATCAGAGTATGAGGAGGGCGTGGATAATCCTATTAACGCTCTCGTCTCCGAAGCTCTTTTCCATTTTGCATCTTCCCTAGCATGAGAAATATAAGGCCACCAATCTAGATGCTTACATGCACGTCCACCTACCCAGGGAAGTACTCAGTCCTTCAGAGAACAAAGGACAATGCTTTATCCTCCTGGAAATTTGGGCCAATTAAACATCTAGCATAGAAAATGTACCCACGGAACATCATGATGATGCTGCTAACTGCCCATAAATGCCAATGTTAATTTAGGGATGTTCGCCAGGCTTAGACTTCCAGAGATGAGGGACATTCAGTTGCCTAAAGCATCACTGAATGATGCCTAAAGAAAGAAAAACCAAGCAGACAAAATGCAGATTAGAGATCGCCGTCTATCCTTGCCCTTTGAAAGTCTTTATTACAATTTACTGTTTTCTGTCCCCAGTGGTGAAGTAGAACTGAGGTATAAAGCTGCACAAGCCCTGTCTTTACCTAATAGACACAGGTAACTAGCAAGTGAACGCTAGGACGTTATTAGCTAAAATGCAGCCACCAAGGGACAAAAGGGATGGCAGGGTGTTCGCTCCAACAGAACAGCCACAGTTCTGCATCTTCCACTTTGCAGTGAGGGAATAGAATAAGTGGAGGAAAAATGCTGATGTAACTGCATGGTTTTATAAAAATAGCAACAAAGGAAGCCTTCTCCTATTTCTCCAAGTGAGGCTGAGCTCTGGCCTCAGATGCTCCTGTAACCAGTCCCCACACATGGCACCTGGCTCCCTTTCCCTGGGTGGGACTGTCATCTGGGTGGGAGTAAAGGCAGGTTTTTGGTGCCACTGATGGAGAATAACTTCTGCCACATATTTGGCCCTTGCTAATTTATTTACTTAGGCCTGTATTAGGTTTATAAGAAAAAAGAATAGGACTAGTATTCACACTTTCTGTCACACCTGTGTTACAGATTCTTAGCCCCTGTGTAGCGATTTCAATTTTATGAACCATCACATTTATATTTAAATAGAAAGCAAGATCTGTTATTTAAAAGTCACGGGAATTTCACTTCTGTGAAGCTTGCATAATAAATGATTGCCAAGGAAATTTTGTAGTTCTCAGATTCAAGGTCATTTTCTACAGAGGAAGCCTAACTTTAAATGAAGGTCACTCACTGAAGCTCAGAATTCATAACACACACAAATTTACTTTCAAAATATCACCTGTTTAAAATGCCAACACAAACAGACTCCTGGTCCTATGTACCACATAATTCTTTATCTAATTTAAGGAGCAGATCTTGGCACCGTGAAGACCTGTGAGATGTGTAAACAAAGCCTGCTGATCGACCTGGACGACTTTAACATGACTGACTTCTACCAGAAGCATCAGCAATCCCAGGTAGGGAGCCGTGGACCCCACTCTGCCTCCACAGGCTAAAGCTGGTTAAAGGCAGAGGGCAGGTAGACGCTCACTGTCCCTATCTAAGGAGTGTAGAAGGTCTGTGTGTTGTGTGAGTCTGAGAATGTCTATGTGTCTCTCCTTGAGAAGGTCTGTCACTAATTCATGACTTGGAACATTGTAGTCTTGGTGGTCCTGGGTTGTCCTCTGCTTTCAGGGACAAACACAGGAAGATGCAGTGGCCAATTGGACATAGAAATAGCAAAAAGTCTTATAAGCTCCACACCCAAATTTGGCGAAGTAATTTACGTTTATTTTTATTTTATCTTAATAGATTTAGGGAGTACAAGTTGGATTCTATTACAAGTTCATATTGTATTACAGTGGTGGGGTCTGGACTTTTGGTCTACTCATTACCCAAGTAGTTTACATTGTACCCTGTAGGTAATTTTTAATTTAAGTTTAATAACCATAAGAGAAAAAAAATTCAGGGTCTGGTAAGTAATTATCCCCAATTTAAACATCAGGTAACTCTGGAGTAAGAAGGACCTGCATTACCTAAGATTAATAAACACATAGCAAAATGCCTACTGTGTATTTTTCTTTTTTTTTTTTTTTGAGACAGTCTGATTTTGTCACCTTTGGAAGAGTACCATGGCATTATAGCTCACAACAACCTCTAACTCTTGGACTCAAGTGATCCTCTTGCCTCAGCCTCCCAAGTAGCTGGGATTACAGGCGCTGGCCACAATGCCCGGCTATTTTATTTTTAGAGATGGGATCTCACTCTTGCTCAGGCTGGTCCCAAACTCCTGAGCTCAGGCAATCCACCCACCTTGGTGTCCTAGACTGCTAGGATTACAGGTATGAGCCAAGGCACCTGGCCCTGTTTTTTTAAATTTTTAAAAAAAATTTTTGAGACACTCTGTCACAAAGTCTGATTAAATAGTTTTAATCTGGTTACTGTCTGTCACCCTAGAGTACTATGGTATCATAGCTCACAGCAACCTCAGACTCTTGGATTCAAGTGATCCTCTTGCCTCAGCCTCCTGTGTAGCTGGGACTACAAGCGCTCACCACGAGGCCCAGCTAGCTTTTCTATATTTTTTAGTAGAGACAAGATCTCTTGCTTAGGCTGCTCTTGAACTCCTGAGCTCAAGCTGTCTGCCTGCCTCAGCCTGTCAAAGTGCTAGGATTACAGGTGTGAGCCACTGGCCTGGCCTGTACTTTTTAACACCTAATGTATTAACTCTCCTGAAGCATTTGGTTGTATTTCTAATACTATGAAAAATTTAGTTAACCTCAGATGCTACGGTGATGCCCAATTCTCAGGCAAAGGATCTTCTACTATACTATACCAAGATAGAAGCCAGAAGCCTCATGTGGCTACTAAGCAGGTGGCTTGTTCTAATCAGCATGTGCTATAAGTGTTAAATACACAATGAATTTCAAAGATGCAGTATCAAACATAAGAGAAAGTAAAATGTCACCTAATTTTATATTAAGTACACACTGAATTTTAAAGACCTAATATGCTTTCCAGGCCGGCGTGTAAGGAGCTTGGATGGCATTATCCTAACAATAAGTAAAACTCTGAACAAATTGCAAAATCAATAACTCTTCTTAAATCTATAAGAGAAGTGAGGTCACAGGGCAAACTTCTGCTCCTAAAGAGAGACAGATGGACGGATAGAGAGAATCATAGCTAACCGGAGCAGAGACTGGTAAGCAGAATCCACTGTGGGAACAGTGCGGGGAAGGGAGACCTAAACCATAATTAATGAATTGCCAGAGGCTCAGCGTAGTCAAATCCGAGAGTCAAAAACTCCAGGGAGACCCAGGCATAAGGGTGTCCCCACATCTTTGTAAGTTTTACCTCCAGGAGCTCAACCAGATTCTTACGGTAAATATCAGAGAAAAACCTTTCATGCTGCTGGCAGAGGAAGGGATAAGGATTTTTTGTTATACATCAGAGCATTCTGTTCTTTTTAATAAAGTCTGTCCTCAGAAGAAACTATTTAACCAGAGCCTAACCTTTTCGGGTTTTATCAGAGCCAAACCTATCTGGAAAAAGAGAAATACTCAACCCCAGTGCCTCTAGCCAACCTAAGAGGGGCTGAGAAGCACTTGGGAAGTTCACGTCCAGAGGCACAGGCTCACTAAGACTGAGGCCACTCAGGGGACTATGGAATCCTTCCCTCCTCCCCACACCTTACCACCACATTGCTGAAAGCCTATTTATAGCCATTTCTTTTACCCAGTACATGATGTCTGGCTATCAAACCAAAAATTACAAGGCACACTAAAAGGCAAAAAACACAGTTTGAAGAGATGGAGAGAGCATCAAAAAACTGATTCAGGAGCCAGGAAGGACACGTTGAGGTTGGCAACCCATCAAGGACAGTAACTACCATGGCTTCCAGTGCTTTGGCCAAACCTCAGATGCGTGGCCTCTTGGCCAGGCGCCTGCAGATTCATATTGTTGGAGCATTTGTTGTATCCCTGGGGGTTGCAGTTTTCTATAAGTTTGCTGTGGCTGAACCAAGAAAGAAGGCATATGCAGATTTCTACAGAAATTATGATTCTATGAAAGATTTTGAGGAGATGAGGAAGGCTGGTATCTTTCAGAGCGTAAAATAATTTTGAAATATAAAGAATTTCTTTGGGCTGATTTACATAGACATTTGTCACTGACCTGTGTTCCTGAGCTATGAATATGAGTGATAAATAAACTATTAATAAATTTAAAAAAAACAGATTCAGATGTGGCAGGGGTGTTAGAATTATCATGCCAGGAATTTAAAACAACTACGAATATTATGCTAAGAGCTCTAATGGATAAAGTAGACAGAATGCAGCAACAAATGGGCAAAGTAAGCAGAGAGATGGATGTAAGAAAGAAAAGAAATACTAGAGCCAAGCACAGTGACATATGCCTGAAGTCCCAGCTACTCGGGAAGCTGTGGTGGGAGTATCACTTGAGCTCAGGAGTTCAAGTCTAGGCTTGGGAACATAGCAGGATTCCATCTCTAATCAAAGAGAAAAAAGAAAAACAATTAATTTCCAATCAATAGTGTACAGAAAAAAAAAAAAGAAATGAAAAGAAATACTTGGGATCCAAACACTGTAATAGAAATAGAGAATGCCTTTGCTGGGTTTATTAGCAGACTGGACACATCCGAAGGAAGAATCTCAGAGCTTGAAGATATCACCATAGAAACCACTAAAACTGAACTGGGCCTGGTAGCATGAGCCTGTAGGCCTAGCTTCTTGGGAGGCTCCGGCAGGAGGATTGTGGCACCCAAGAGTTTGAGGTCATCCTAGGCAACGTAGTAAGACTCTGTGTCAAAAAAGAAAGGAAGGGGCCAGGTGCAGTGGCTCATGCCTGTAATCCCAGCACTTGGAAGGCCGAGGCAGGCAGACTGCCTAAGCTCACAGGTTTGAGACCAGCCTGAGCCAGAGTGAGACCCCATATCTAATAAATAGCTGGGCACTGTGGCAGGCACCTATAGTCCCAGCTACTTGGCAAGAGGATCACTTGAACCCAAGAGTTTGAGGTTGCTGTGAGCTAAGATGCCAGAGCACTCTACCAAACGTGACCAATTGAGACTCTGTCTCAAAAAAAAAAAAAAAAAAAAAGGAAGGAAAGAAGTGAGAGGGAGGAAGGAAAAGAAGGTAGAAGGAAAGAGAGACGAGGGGAAAAGAGGATTTCTTGAGAAATGAATTCAGCATTTTGCAGCCTGAAGGTCTCACGTCACTCAGTCATAATTGCCAGGCACTGAGATCTCAGATGAGAAATAGAGCAACTCACATTCTTGGACTCTTGAATATATTAGAGTCAAAATATGAAAAGGAACCAGGTCCTCTGAGAGCCTGAGGTTAGAGTGCCAGCCAGGGTGTACACAGGACTATCTGAGATCATGTCCCCAGGAGACTGGGTTACTCGTCATACTGCCAGAATGATCTGCAGATGTCACAGAAGTCAGAATCACCAGTGTAGGAGGAATAGACATTCCAGCAAAGACACCTTTTGGTCCTAAGCCTTTCCGTGTTCTCCCTCTGCCAAGTTGCTGTCACCAAATAATGTTTGTTTACCAGTGGTATTTGTAGAATTGACCCAATAACAGCAAATTGGTCTATTTGTACTAAAATGTTTGCTCTCATATAGCCTGAGACAGCCTGTCCCACTGAGAAGACCAGTTTCAATTAAGATGTGAGCTCAACCCCTATTCTCCCCCCCCCCCCGAGTTGCTCTGTGGCCTTGGGGAAAATGACATAAACTCCCTAGACCTCGATTCTCTCATCTGTAGCAAGTGGGTCCTCACAGGGTTAGAGGTAAGACAAGACCTGAGTACATCGCCCGGTAGACACCCTGTCTGGGTCGGTCAATGAGAACCGCCACATTAGGGCCACAGAGATGCCCAATCTTTCCGGCACTCAGGTGAGGCCACCAAGTGCTCCAGGGACCAGGCTAAAGTCCATCACTGAACAAATACAGCCAACCGTCCCCACAGGGTCATCCCCCATACCCGTGGCCTCACTGCATCCTTCCCTCAGATGTGTCCAGTTGAGGTAATGGTAGCAAGCACATTCTAGAAAGAACTGTGCGGGTAACTGTGTCAGCTGGGGGCAGGAAAGAGATGACGACAGGCTCAAAGGCGGTGAGCACGAAGAGCTGAATGATGGGGTGGGGGGGATGTGGGCAGCAAGAGAAAGCAAGAAGGGGTGAGGAAGCATCTGAGACTGGCAGTGCGGCTCCCGGCTGGAAGTGAGGAGGAGGCGGCACTCTTACCAGGGTCGGGAGAGCTGTAGCTAAGGGAGAGCTACCAACAGCCTGTGGCCTTCGGAAGAGGAAGGCAGCCACCGTCACACATGCCCAGCAGAGCAGCAGAACAGACACTGGCCTCTGGTTTCCTGCTGGTCACCCCTTGGCAAATGGAATCCCTTTTTGTGGAGTGAGGTAGCTGGTGCCAAATCTAGACATCCACAAAGCCAAAAGA